ACACACACACACACACGCACACACACACACAAACACATAAACACACTTCTACTTTTAACACTAATTAGAACTTCAGATCTAGATCCCACCAATGCCGTAAATGGAAGGACTTCCGTAACGAGCGACCACTCCCCCCAAAAAACCACAATAAAGAAGAGACCTAACCCTAACACTACTAGCCTACCCCTACCCCTCAATTCTACTAGATCTATGTCTCATAGTGTTCACTCGTTACGGAAGTCTTCCCCTGTAAGCTAACGTTCCTGACACCACGTCACGCTACCTATAACCACTAAGGTTATTGCATCATATAATCTATGTACTAATCGTAACGTCTCGTCCATATGAAACTATCGCCTTTTGATTTAAAAAAAAACAACGACCGGCTTCTGTGGTGTAGCAGTGGGGCACATCACCGTCGCAAGCAGAAGACCTGAGTTCAATCCCTGTGTGGGGAGAATTTCTATCGACTGTCTTGGTCTTTCAGCTGGAATGTTGTGTCCCTCTCAGCCTGGGCTGGTCCTGACAGGCATGGTTGAAGCCCACCCGCCTCCTAAATTATATCTAAACCGTGTCGATGGACGCATATATAAACACGAATATTAAATTGATCAAACGCGCAATAAAAAGCTGATTGTGTCTCTTACCATGTTGGTTCTTTAGTTTCTTTCCTATCCTTCTGTGCTGGTTCCTGACGACCCCGCTGGGGTTTGGACAACGAATGAGATATTTCAACAAGCCCCAAAGCTCACAAGAGTTCACAACAAACTCGTGATTGTTTTTACAAGTTTAACTTCACCTGTCTTCAAGCCATTAAAAAAAAAACATTTAAAAAACTAACAGATTTTAAAAAATCACCTTTTGCAAAAGGGGAGCATTGTCGAGGAGTTTACTCACGTGTGTTAATGTTAACTGTTACAACTTCAAAATATTTTAAAGTTAAGGAGAACCGAAAGAAAAATTATGATTGGCTTAGCTGAAAAGGACCTATCCAATGGGTGATTTTAGTTTGGCGTTTGACTTGAGTTGGAAGGGCTAGGAGAACATGGGGGTGGGGG